TGTGTTTTGCTGCCCACTAGTGTCCTATGACAATAAAATGCTTGACATGTAGACAGCATGTAACAATCTCTGACAGACTTAGCAAAATAGTCACATGTTTCTAATTTGTATAAGCAGTACATATTTAAAATTCTACAAAGTAATTTTCTACAATATGCATATTGACTATAGATTGACCTTCACTAAAATGTCTTTGTCCTTTTGCAGAAAACAAAAACCAAGAAAATATGAGTGTTTGCATTTGGAAATAATATTTAATTTCCTATTATAAAATTAATTGATAATTTTAAGGTAAGAATTTGGGGTGCCAACTTTTTAAACAAATGCTTAATATTAGATTCAATTTTAACTTATCTGTCTTTTTGCATTATTTCACACATTATATATGTGTTAACATATATTTATTATATATTAACAAATTTTTATTAAAGTTAACAAGCATTTTATTAAGTGCCTACTCTTTCTCAAGTACTATACTAAGTGCTGGAGATACAAAAAAAGAAAGAGGAAAAAAATAAAAAGCAGTCCCTGCTTTCAATGAGCTCACAGTTTAATTTTGGAGACTACACATAAACAACAACCATGTACAAACAAGATATATGCAGAATAAATTGGTGACAATCTTAGGGAGAAGATGCTAACATTAATGGGGGTTAAGAAATGCTTCTCACAGAAGGTGGGATTTTAAATGGGACCTGAATGAAGCCAGGGAAGTCAGGAGTTAGAGATAAGGAGGAAGAGAATTCCAGGCATAGGGAACACCAGTGAAAATGAATAAAGTCATACACATATAACCACATACAGAAAAGGAATTGCCCATGGGATATCGGTTTTGCTATGCTTTTTTAAAGAGTTATCATGAAGTCATTTGAGATACTTTACATATTTCTTTCCCAAGATCCATAACACATAACACATCCATAACAAAATAATTTTTAGAGATAGATATAATTATGCACATTAAGGCCTATGAATTAGGGACTTAAGATTGGCAATTTTTAGAGGGAATTCTTCCCCTCCCCCACAACATGGTGTATCAGTTCTTCCTTGTTATTCAACGAGTTCAGTGAAGTAACAGACCGTACAATCAAGTGTAAAAAGATCAGAAATGGGATTTCTATCATTTATCACAGTGTAACTTGTACTGAATATTTTTTCCTACAGAAGGCACACAATATCCTAAGTCCAGAGGTACAAAAATGTATTCAAAATCTCTATCTAGCTTCCTTAAGATGAGGAGAAAATAAAAACTAGATTAAATAAAAATTGTCATCATGTACTTATTCATTCATTGGTTTTTTTTTTAATTAAAAGAGAATGAAATCAGGCTAAAGGACCCAAAGGTATGACAAAGCAGTATAAAGTAAAGTTTTCAAGGTTTTTATTGAGGTAATGTGTTCTATCCAGAAAAGAAAATGCCAAGGCCTAGGAATGTAGGTCTAGGAACATAGTCAGATTCTCTATTAAGAACTGACAAAGTCCAGAAAGATTCAACATACCCCATTTTATTGTTCAATAGCTGTGTTAACACCACTACTCTATCTAATTTCCATCTCAAACTTGGTTTACATATCAGAGAAAGATAACATTAATTGTGTATGTATAGTTTATAATTATAAAATTGTGTATATATGTGTATATACATCATTAATATTTCTATATATGTGCATATATACATACATAGACACAAACACATATGTATATCTGTGCTTATATGTATGAAACGCCATATAAAAGAAGAGCAATGATAGAAAACACAAAATCTATATACATATGTATGTAGACCTACATGTCTATCATCATGTATGTGTTAGATAAACATGAATAGAAATATAAGTCTGAAATATCAAGTACTTGCTCATGTGGATGCATATCCACATAATTTTATTTTCATTAAATGTACTTTCTAAAGTTAAAATCAATAATTCAATAACCAATAACATGCACAACAAATATAAAATTATCCTTGATACTGTTTAAATTTTGGGATTTACATGAATGTGCTTATATTCATATACATGCAGAACTTGCATTGTCATAAAAGTATACATATGAGAATCTCTAAATATTTGGCAATTTTCCTCTTTCAGCCTATTATTGATATCATACTTGATATAGATATGTGTGGTAATTTATTCAAGAGCTTAATCTAACAAAAGATTGAATTCCAAACTTAAAATTATTTGACCTAAATTTCAAACTGTCCTATAATCATGCATCCTTTTTAACCAAAAAAGCACAAATTTTATCTATCAGGATCTTGAAGTACTGTATTTACTCTTTGTTGAAAACATATTATTAAAGCATATTAATATTCTTAAAACTTAGCACTTTTTAATAAAAACTCAAAATTTTAATCTGTTTAAGCTCTTAAATTAATTGAATTAATTTTATGCCAAATCATTTGCAGTTTGGGGCCTAGTATTCAGTGTATTCAGGTATCAGAATATTTTAATGTGAATATTTTTTTAAAAACAAGTTCATTCAAATAGATGAACATTACTTCAAAATATCAAGTGAGGAAAACATCTTGTCTCTCCTCCAGTGTGATTAGAAGTATGTATTTATAGATTTTGAAAGTATGGCCAAATGAAAAAAAATATGCATGCCAAACTGAACTCTTTTATATAATCTTATGTTATGTTGGGATATGTAGTGTGTGATTATGTTTATCTATATATCACCACTCATTGGGGAAATCTTTAAAGCAGGTTGGCAATAATAGTGAAAGAGCTCAAAGCCCAGGGCTTTTGTTTGTTTGTTTGGTAGGTTGTAGGGTTTTATTGTTTTGTTTTGGTTTGTTTTAACCTGGTCACACAGAAAGAAGGAAACTAAAAACACAATACAGCATATAAAATATGCATTTTCATTGGCTATGTATGCCTTATGACAGATAATGTACTTGAATGCTTTAAGGTAATAATCACTGTCAATATATTTCAAGAGGTCTTTTGAGAAAGTGATAGGAAAAGACTACCGACAGTGACTGTGTATATGTATGTTATATATACATATATGTGTGTGTCTATACACAGTGATGGACTTAATATGAAGTCTATCATGCAAAAACTATTTTGTATAACATACACCACCAAAACAGCAATTTCAAGATTATAATTATTCGGTGATTGTACAATTTAAACATAACATCAAGACCGTTTGCATCTTCTTTTTAAAACACTGATTAAAAACCACACACATGTTTAGTATATCTCTATGCGTTCAAAAATACAGAAAAATAATGGTTGATTTCTCATTTTAAATTATGGATCTTGGAATGTAAAATGGATACAATTTATATTCACAATAAAAAAAGCAACCTATATTATCATGTCAATGAAAAGGTGCCATGTCTCTCAATAGAATGGGATTTTTTTTTCAGTTTTTCTAAAATCATGAACTCTATGATGAATTCAAGGGTTTGTGCTGACAAATTAGACAGGCCTTAAATACTATCTTATATCTTCACCTATATGATAGTATTCTAACATTTTCTGCAATTTCATATTAAATTGTAACTTCCATGATGCATCACTGTATATGCTCTAATGTAAATATATTCCCCTAAGGTAAAATTCCACAGAGGATATAGACAAGGTATAGTACCCTCTGAGGAAGGGGGAAAAAAAGAAAGTATAATGTCAAATTTGTTGTAATGCTTTATTGCAAAGAAAATTTCAAAATTAAAGTTTATGAACAGTTTGTTCAATAAAGATGTAATATAGTATAAAATATTTTTATACTATAATTCAATACTAATTTTTCTTCTAAATGCAGCCATTTTTAAGTGCATAATTTCTTTAATTTTGTTGGTATATATATACACATATATACACACAGAGATGATTATATGTATATATTTTCATCTAACATGTAGCTTAATAAATAAAAATGTACACCCAACTAGCATTTATTCCTCAGCCTGCACTCTGAGGTTCATTTGTCTCTTCCAGGAAAATCTCACATTCTCCTTTGCTTCTTGGGTTTTCTCACATAACAATATTTTCTTTTTTCTCTTCCTTTCTAGGGGGTCAATTCTGCTTAATTAAATAATTTTAACTGTCAGCATGTAATGAATTTTAGACTGATCTGTGTGCAGAAATTTGAAATGGTAATTCAAAACTGCAGCTATTCTCAAGCTATGCCAAAAACCAGCAGTTTCCTATCATTCTGATGTTGGGAGAAAACCATCAACATGTACATTTATATTTCTGTCATACTACAACTTAAGGTATTGCACACAGTGATTGTGTGCACATCATGAGGTAGTAATAGCTATTTAAATTCTTAAGAAGAAAATCCTTCAAAATATCAAATGGCTATGGGGGGAAAACCAAAATATTTACTTCATTCAGTTATTACATTTTCACAACTTTATAAATGTCAAGATTTGTAAGCACATCAAATGACGTAATGCTTATCACTGCATATTTTTACATAAATTAGTGTTAGGAATACTGAGTAGCACCTTCTTAGGGGTGAAGTAAGAAAAGAGATGAAGATTGGAAAAATATATTTTAAAGAAAATCTTTGATATTATTGTAAATAAATTGTACCAGAGTATAACCACATTTCTTTGTAAAGCTGAACAATAAAAATGCTTATAGCTTAAACTAGAAGGTTTCTATGTTCTATTCATTATATTCATAGAGGGGATTTGAATTGTTCTCCATCTGGTTTTAGTTTTGAAAGAAGTAAAGAATTTTTTTTCTAATCTATTCATTTCTCATCAAGACTAGTTTTATTCTGAATGAGGTGGCTATCAAGTACTATAGTTAGGGAAGGGGTTGGCACTTTGCTAGGTAAGCTAGCTTAAATGATTACAGAGCAATTTCTCCCCCATCCTCTCCTCCTACCTTCCCTGTCCCCCTCCCCCACAGGACAAGGTTTGAAATGTTTGGGAGGGGGGAGAATACAATTGATCCAATTATACAATTCCCCAGTTCACTTTTGGCAATTACCAGCATTTAAATGAATCACAAATAAAATATATTACTCACCATTCAAGATGCTCTGGAACAAGGAGAAAGCCAATATCCACATGCCCCTGTTCTTTTCTATTCTTCCAGCTATATGCTTGGCTTTCCACTCTTTTGCTTTCTTTTTCTCTATTTGTCAACTGCAAGGTTAAAGCTACAAGCTAAGAAGACGATCAGTTCAGTTTATTTTGCTGGTTGCCGTGTAGCTGCTTGGAAAATGCGTGTATGTGTTTGATTGTCCTTAAAGCAAGTGATCTGTCTCTCCTCTTCTCCACTGACACTTGCTCACTGGCTTTCTCTTTCAGAAAGATGCAGCCAGAGGAAAGAGGGAGGCGGGTGCTTTAAGCCCAGGTGTGTTGTTAGCTCAGGGAGACAGCAGCAGGTTTGCAGCAGCAGGTCTACAGGTGAAAATATCCTCAAATGCAAGCATGAGCTCATCCCTGGGAATATACAGTCCAGAATCTGCAGAAATCAGGTTCCAAACCCTTCACCCTCCACATTCAGGCAGCAAGCAAACAGACAGGCACATCTTTCCTCTCCTACAGCTTTAATCACATTGATCCCTCAGCTAACCTTCTCTGCCTCTGAGACTCAGAGCTAAGTATTAACCCTGTCTCATGCCTCTGTCCTTTGTAGCGTTCTGCAGTCTTAAAGCAGCAGTAGAGCACTCGCAGCTGAAGTGGAGGCAGGATTGGTGGTGAGTGGGAAGCCAACCAACAGCACTGAGTAATTTAGAATAATTTCCAATAGGCTTAAATAATGATTTGACAGCTAGTTATTTTTAGCTATTGCCTTATCAGCACTTAATAAGACATGTTAAAGGGAAATGATTCAGGAAGGTAGCAAGATATGCAGAGGTAATGGTGAAATTTTTAGCATCTTTGAAATAAAATCACCAGCCTGCTAAAGATTTCTTTGTTTTCTTTTTCCAGGAGATTCTCATTTGTATCTTTAAAGGAAAATGGGAATATCAAATACTGTATAGTATTATAATGTCTTTGATTTAAGGGCTGATTTTTAATTAACATGAAAACATTTTGAAGACAAAACACTAGCAGCTGTAATTGTAAATGTATAACCAGCTCTATTCAAAAAGCAAACAAATGCCCCTATTCACCATTAAAAAGTCAATAAATAATTAATGCTATTCTGATTATATGATATTGTTCCAAAAGCCCTAATATGATGAAGGTAAAAGCTAAAGCACACGTGTATTTCTTTAAGCACTTAAGAATGACTTATGGCATAAAAGCCTGACTTAAATTAAGTAACCATGAAGGGGTGCTTGAAAGCAAAGAGAGTTCTGGCAACCACTATAGGAAAACATGTTCAAAAGGTAGCTAGTGAGATTCCTTTTGGAAACAAGCCAATGTTCCTTGTTACCCCCCCAAAATTATTTAGGAAATAGACACACATGCACATATACCCACAAATGCACAGGACCCCAAATCTTTATAATTATAATAATAATTAGAAAAAGACAAGCCAAAAGTCCAAATTCTTCCTACAGGATTAGGAAAAAAAGGTCTCTAAACCATGACTTCTAAAGAAGGGACAACCAAGACCTATCATGGTGACCATAATCATGATGACTATTATAACCTTTCACCAAAAAAGCCTGTATTTAGCCATTGCAACATAGGCTACCCTCATTCACAGGCCATCAGCCACTAGACCAATAATTTTAGGTATGTATACAATCTCTTCATATAGACTTAAAGTTATGAGACTTTAGAAGGGATCATTTATACCACTGCCCTCATTTTATAAAAGAGGAAATGGAAGCCCAGAGAGGGCTTCTTGTCTAAAGCCGCACAGGTAGGTGACAATAACAGGTCTGGGATTTAATCCAATTACCTTCGACTCTAAATACAGTTCTCTTACTATAGTATCACATTCTTTTTTTAATCTACAAAAAAAAAATCTGAAGGGAAATAATAAAAGAAACAAATCAATATGAAGATCAGATGAGGAAATGGCATTAGCAAAGTTCAAAAACCAATCAATCAATCACCCCACTCCACTTAAAGTAACCAACAAAAAAATCAAGCCAGCGTTCATTTATCATGTGAAAACATCTCTATTGAATCTTTTGATTAAAGGAATCTTTGTATGTATGTATGTATGTATGTGAGTATATATATCGATATCGATATATAGATATAGATATAGATATAGATATAGATATAGATATAGATATAGATATAGATATAGATATAGATATAGATATAGATATAGATATAGATATAGATATAGATATAGATATAGATAGACATATATGTATATACACACACACATATGTTTGTGTGTTGTGTGTATCCAACATATCACACACATGTATGCATGCACCTATATGTATATATGTATACCTACATACACATGAGTGTATATATTTATAAACACATATGTGTATATGTCCATATATACATGTCCTTTGACCAAACAATCTCATTTCTGATCAAGGGTCAGGTAATTCCAAGACGTCAAATATAAAGGAAAATGTCCTATGTGTGCTGAGATAGGACCAAGGTTCTCTCCTTTGCCCAAAACAGTATTTAGTTTCCCCTAAAAGGCCACAAAGCTGTTCCTGGAGACTTATTGGCCCCTGCATCCTGATGACCAGACTCATTTTTGTATGGAGATGGGGGGAAGAGGGACAGCTAGAGAAGCTATGTCTCATTGTAACCTTGTTTCATAATCTTTCTTTGTTAGGTCAAAACAACCCTCTTTTGGTTAATTTTCAATGACTTTTAAGAGTCTCATTTTATCTCAAAATTCAGTCTGAACTAATAGGGTCTGGCGTTAAGCACAATCCTAACATCAGGTATAGCCAGTCATTAGGATGAGATGAGACAGCTTCTTGGCTCTGATCATGGTTAAGATGGGGGAAGAGCACTACAAAAATGGAGGATGAAGTGATTGAATGACAGGATAGTACATAGCTCCCAGTTACAAGAACCTTTAAAACTGGATAGTCCAGAATCTTCCCTATGTAACAGGGAGCGGGGTCCAGTACATGACAATTAACTTAGTGGGTGGTGAGGAAGGCTGCCCAGCTGGGTAAAGAAAGCCCCAAGTCCAGCGTTCCTTGGTTGTTGTTGATTGGTTATTGTTGGTCTATAACTCAGAGGTTGAGGTTCCTTCTGAAACCAGACCCATGAGATATGAGAATGAGAGCTAAAGTGAGGGAGAGATTGCTCCAGGGAAGAGGATGAGACCTTACTCTGAGGGAGCAGTCAGGAAGACCTTCTCCAGTGAGAAGCTGAGGTGACTAAAGAAGTCCAAAGAGAAACCTGAAGATTCACTGAAGCAATGCCTCCTGAGGGCTTGGTCTAATGGAGCTGCTCCCCACAGACTAAGTGAGTTCTCTGATATCTTACTTTTATAGGATTAGCCAAGTTTAGTACAGCTTCCAGATGGGAAATGCTCTTCATCCTTTTTTAGGTGGCTGAAATGGAGGGTTATTCCTAACTAGCCTCATAAAGATAAATTCCTTTGGCAGACAGCTCCCCAGTAGGCATCTATGAGGAAAGTTCCTAAAGAATAAGTAAGATTTATGTGCCCTCTACCACCACATGTCTTGCTACATCCTATGATTATCTTGCCTTAGGGCCAATTAAATACTACTTTCTTGATTGAGTTCTACCAAAATGACTTCAGATTTTACTTATGGATCTCCCCTCACATTCAACTATATAGATGTGGGCCCACTGATTAGTGAAGTTTGAGTAGAAGGTCTGGAGTGGTTACTTGAGTATGGCCTTTTGACTAACTCCAAGTTTTATAGAACAAATCCTTTTATTAAGGGGATTTGTTCTGTGAAGTATGGATTTAGTCAAAGAGCCACACTTGAGGACCCAAAGGGCCACATGTGGCCTCAAGGCCACAGGTTCAAAACCCCTGGTAGACAGTAGTAACTTACGCAAATACTATTGCTTGTGTGCATAAAAGCTCTAGCCATTGGAATAGTCTTTGTACACACCTCCCTACTGGGTGGGCAGAAGACAATGACACTCTTACTTTAATGGAGCTTTGGGTGTGGCTCCTGAAACATAGGTTGAATAGAAAATTGATGACCAGACCATAGGAGTGCTGATAAAACTGTGCAGGGAAATTAAGCACCAGGTCCCTTCACACCAATGCAAGCCATTTCAAAGTATCTTCTAAAATCTCTGCCTCCTTTGGATTATTAAGGGGAAGTTACACGGGGCAGATAATGGAGGAAAGGCTCCATATCTATGCAGGCCCTTTCAGCAGCCCCTATTCATGTTACTGTGAGTAGGGCCAAATGGAAGCCCTTAGAGTTACTAGAACAATCCTTTATAGTTAATAACAAATATCAGATCCCTAGAGGGGTAAAAGACATTTCTTCTATAGTGATGAAAATGAAGGAAGCTAGAATACCTCACCATATCAGCTCCCCTTGCAACAGCCCTTTGTTTCCTTTGAGAAAAGTAGATGGCACCTGGCAGGTTATGGTGGTCTAGAGGGAGCTGAACAAAGTCATCCAGCCCATTTCTACAACTGTTCCTGACCTCATCAAAGTCATAAATCAGGTAGCCCAGGTCCAAGATGAGTGGTATGGGGTCAATGACCTTACCAGTATTCAATCTTTAGTCTCATAGGCTGAAACTAGTCAGGACCAGCTTGCTTTCACCTAAGAAAGAGTCCAGTATACAGTCAGTTCTACTATAACACAATATATGCATTCCCCAAAACCACTGCACTATGCAAAGTTATGCAATAAAAACCACAGAGCTTATAGGGAAAATGTGGTTAAGGGCACGATGTTCAAACACTTAGTCAAACATTAAAAAAAAAGGTGGAACAATAAAAATGGCAGCACAGTTTTATAAATGTTAAATGGTTAAGAAATATATAAATACTACAATAAATAGTGACCCCATCTGCAGCTTTAGGCTACTACTCAGTCTGTAACCAGGAGCTGTATAAGCAAAATGAGGCTACAACTCCTCCCTCCCCTAAGGCCTCTAAGAGGATGGAGTGGGGTTGAGAGTGGCATGAATTTGGGCTTCTCTGCTTATAGCTTCTACCGAACTAGAAGACATCCAATGAATATGGCACTTTTCCTTTATAAAGACTTGAAGTTTGTTCATGGAAGTGAGTGTCAGAAAGTTTGTAACTTATGAGTTAATATGAGGAAGTGTGAGTTTCAGCATTCTCAATGCTTCTTGCAGAAGAAATTATTCAGAAGCAAACTCAAAATCCACATTACCCTCAAAATGTTCCCTAATGTATCAATCCTATTGGAACAAATTCACATTTTTGAATTGTGTTACAGAAGAACTGACTTCCCCAAGGCAACCTGAATCCTCCCTCATAATACTCCATTACGGTGGACAGAGACATGAAAGTGGTCTCTCTTTCTTTTGTTGTTGTTCAGTCAGTTCAGTCATGTCCAACTCTTTGTGACCCCATCTGGGGTTTTCTGGCAAAGATACCAGAGTGGTTTGCCATTTCCTTCTTCAGCTCATTTTACAGGTGAGGAATCTGAAACAAACAGGTATAAGTGACTTGCCTAAGGTCACATAGCTACTAA